TCAGCAGGACCTGTGAGCAGAGGGAGCAGTGCTTACAGCTGCCAGTTTCTTCTCTTCCTTTCATCTTTCCAGATGATTTTAGAGACTTGACACTTCACTAAAATCCACCCTTCAGTGATGGATTATGATGGGCAAGCACACTTCAGGAGACAAGTATGGAAACATGAAATGCAGCTTTATTGTTTACTCCTTTATCCTGTGTTACTCTGGGTACTTGACATTACATATCTTGGGGTCTGTGAGAAATATTGGGTTCTTAAACATAACTGGCATAAATCCTGTAAAAAGAGAAGATGGAGAATGTTTTCAATGGGAAAATAGGCTTGAGCTGCAAAACTGGAGAGCATAGTTATACTTGCCAAGTACTTGAGCTCTTTTAATGGCTTTTGCAATTTCCTTCTGCTTCTTGTTGCATAAGCCTGAAGAGAGAAATAATTTTCAGTCTCTTCAATCAACAATAACCAAACCCTTGGTTTTAGAAAAGTGCTGTTACTGACAATGCTAGGCCAGTGGTGTTGCTGACAATGCTAGGCCAGTGGTGTTACTGACAATGCTAGGACAGTGGTGTTACTGACAATGCTAGGCCAGTGGTGTTACTGACAATGCTAGGACAGTGGTGTTACTGACAACTCCCTCTAGCTTTGTCTAACCCTTCCTAGAAAAATGCACGTGTGCTTATCCTGTTAAACACAAAACATGAAATTAAGGGCTCTTTTAATTCCTTGATGAAGGCTATTAGATCAGAGGAATACTATTACAAATCACAGAGCTGGCAGTAGTATTTTTGGAAAGACAGGTGATACACTTGGACTCAGAAGAGCATGATGTTAACCCAGGAAATGCTGTCCCATACCTGTGATGTGCCTGCCGTAAATGCGGCCGGTGTGTGGGGAAACAAACTGGGAGAGAAGCTGCAGGAAATGAAGAGATTCAAAGTCAGTTTAAGAACTTTTGAGAGAGCTTTAGTCTATTTTACTACTTGCATTCTAGCTGTCATTTTTTAATCTGTTTTTACAAAATGCAGTTCTACCTGGAGACAAGAAAAAGTGTAGCTTGGAGTTAGACAGTATCTTATGTGGCTCAGCATTTGAGCTGTACAGCATGGAACAAGGCCAAGGGCCAGGTCCTGCC